GACCCACTGAAGAGTCTGCGGAAATCTCTTTGCGCCAGTTCTGGGGGGATTCTGAGAACTTATCCAGGTACCAAGCAAGACAGGGAGGACAGATGAGAACTCTGAGGTTCAAGAGAGGCGAGTGGCCTGCCCAGCCTCCCCCTGGCTGGGACTTTGTTCTCCTGGGGCCACACCCTGGTGCTTCCCTGCAGCTTACCACAAAGCCAGGGGTCTGCCAAGAAATGAACTCCTGGTGAACAGACAAGAACTGTGGGCAGGATCAGGCCCTTCAAAGGTCTGAAGACAGCACTCCCAAAATAAATCTCTTAGCTAAACAGACATTTTCCAAAAGGCATCATCATTTCCCAGAATACAGAGTGACCTAGAAACTGGGACCAGAAAATAACCTCTGAAATGCAGGCGGCTTTCTTCCTTCCCTCTTCCCCCCTCATTCCCTTCCTTCTTTTTGTCTTTCATTTTTTTCTCTTTTTAAAAGAGCTGTTTAATCGTTGACTGCTGTAGTATCTTCATTTATTTATTCCTTTAACAGACATTGATGGAGCCATTAGCATATGCCAAGTCCTGTCATGAGCACTGTGATTCCAAAAGCTGAAAATCCCAGTGAATTCATTAATTAAAAACTGCAGATGGGTTCGTACCACATGTCTGTTCATGTCAGTATAATTATCACTGCAGGTAACTTCGAGGCAGAATAGAGTAGAGCAGCGGTTCTCAACCTGTGGATCGTGAACTGTATTAAAGGGTCGTGGCATGAGGAAGGTTGAGAACCACTGGAGTGGAGAAAGAATAGAGTCCAAAGCCAGACACCCTTTCATTTACATCTCACCTGTGCCATATGCTAGCTGTGTGGCTTTGGGCAGGTAATTCTAAGCCTTGCCTTCACCTATGTAAAATGGGGATGAGGATACCTAGAGATGGTGTTTTTAAAGAACCTAAAACATAATAGGTGTGTTAAATAAAAGATAGCTTTCTATTATTACTAAATATTTATCAAAATCTTCCATTTCTATTTTTTATTTGGCTTTATAGGTTTAACTGCCATGTTGTTTGGTGCATACAGATTTGATTTTCATATTTCTTCATACATTGTACCTTTTATGCTATTAACTAACGAATGGCTTTGTCCCCTTCAATATGTTTAACCTTAAATTCTGCTTTATCAAATAGTAATATTGCCCCTCCTGCCTTGTTTGTATTTAGCTGGAACAGCTTTGTCCATCCCCTTATTTTTAAATCATTTTAAAATCTAAATCTTTTTGTCTTTGATAGCTGAATTTGGTATCAACATTGATATCGATTGTTTTATTCCATCATAAAAATTCCAACTGAACTCAGTTTTAGCTGAATAGGTTTCAAGAAGAAAAAAAAGGACTCGTCTAAAAAGAAAAAAGATGGAAAAAAGCTTAGTCACGAAGGCTGCTTTGACTTTACAAAACTGAGTGACCTCACCTTTACAGGAATCTGGAACAAATGGAGGCAGATGGGGGGGGCGAGAATGAGAAGAGGGTGAGTGAAATGTCAGCAGGAGATGAAGGATGCTGATCTAATCCTAGGATTTTAGATCGAGAAGATTCCCTCAACTAAGTACTTCCAGCCCTTGGCCTTTCTACAGAGAGGGAAACCGCATGGCAAGATCTCACAGCCTGTTGGCAACAGAACTGGGACCACACTCACGTCTTCTGGGTCACCACATCCGTAAACCCTGGACACAGACTACGTTCTGGAGGATTCACCTAAGAAAAACCAGGCTAAAGCTGCCTCGCTGACGACAGAAGGGGAAAATGGAAGAAGGGATTCTAGTAAAAAGAGAGTGGCGATTAACAAGCAGTAAATTAGGGGCAGTTAGTATTTTCTTCTGCTTTTACCCACATGTGTGCCTGGCCCAAAAGAAAGCATCAAGTCGGGTGACCTCGGTCCTTTGAATGCATCAGAAGAGCTGGAAAGAGCGTTAAATATCTGGGAGAATAAAGTATGGGGAGCATGAAAGCCTTCAAACCGAGAAAAACGATCATGAGATGAGGCAGCCCTGCATCTACATTCATAGGACAGGTAGATGGAAGCACCTCCACCTCTGTAAGTGGGGGAATCGGGCAACGGTTGCAGAAATGAGTGGTCTAAATTTGCATAGAGGCACTGGAATAAAATCTCAAGTGTCCAGGCCTCACAACTTGGTTTTTGAGGTCTTAACAGGCTGAGAGACGTGGTCAACAGCATACTCACATCTGCGTAGATGTTGGTTCCAAACACAGGAGCCCAGTAGGCAGGTTCGTCTTTACAGTAGGCTGGACAGTGAACTCTGGAAAACAAGAGGCACGTATGTAAAAGATGGGATCGGAGGAAGACAAGACTTGCACTGGCTCCTTGTATTTGAATTTCAGAGGGAAGGAAACTACCCTCTTTAAGAAAATCAGCACCTGACTCACCCTAGCCATGGAAAAGGTATTTTGTTTTTCTTAAATCGTGTCTTTAGGAAATAAAAAACAATTAAAAAGAGATTTGCACAAACAAAAAGGTGAAAAGTATGGAAAATCTAAGAGACGTGAATGTGGAATTGTGAGATGGTGCCTCCCGCTCTTGGGAGTTGGCCAGTTCATGTCATGGGCACGGTATAGAGATTATAATCTATAGGCTTCTTTTTTAGGCCACTCCCCTATGTGGGGAGGAAAAGGTGGAGAGCCCTCAGCTCAGTGAGTCACAGAATATTCCAAGGAGGGGCCGCTGATAACCCCAGGCAAGAAGGGTTAGTTCACCTGTGTCAGTCACTACAGCCCCACTGAAGGCCCAAGGGATGGGGAGGTATCCTCAAGCCGGAAATGGGTGGACCCTAGGTGGTTTGAGAGATTCAAACCAGGAAAGAGCAGGAGAGTTCCTTAAGAAAAGGTCTTTTGTGTTTATCTGGAACAGTCCCTGTGGGCTGGAGCCCAGGGACCAAGAAACCAAAATGGCAGCCAGAAGCCATCTGGGATCTGGCCAGAGGCTACAGAATTTGAAACAGTTCTTCGGGGTGGAGAGAAAGGGTACCTACGTGTAGATTTTTAAAACCAAAAAGTTCTCAGCTAGCCCAAGGGGTAGAATAAGATATAAAAAGGAAAAAGAAAAGAGAAGAATTGGGGCATCTGAGAATACTCCTTCCTTCTCCTGGAACGGCAGGTCAGAAGCTGAATGTTTCAGATGCTGGACTCTGTTGAGTTTTTCTTTTTTGTTTGTATTTTCTAAAATTACTTCTCTCTGCTTCTCTTTAATATTTGGGGTACTAAAAGGTCATTATCCCCACTGGGGGGTGGTCAAAGAAAAGCCCCAGGGGAGATGCCTCCCCCCCATTACTCTTCTTCCCAGGCAGGGACCCTCCCAGGGCTTTTTCCTGCTCAGCCCTGAGGTCCCCACCTGTTGTCCCTGGAGAACCCACTGAGTCACCACCCATCCTGAGCCTTTATCTTCAGAGCCTGTCCACCCAGGGTACGGGGGCTTCCCACCATACTTCTAGCTTCACAGTGGAGCTAAGGCAGAAAGCTTGCTCCGTGTGAAGGTAGCTTTGTTTCTTGATGCGTCTTCTGAAGGCTGGGAACAACTATACACAAGTGAGTGTGACCCAGGGACGTGGGCTGTCTCCACCCAAGGAGACTCCTCTGCACCCCCTCGGCGAAGCTCTCCCAGGCACTGCGGAGATGAATGTTACCTTTACTTTAAGCCGTGAGGCATCACTCTCAAGAACTAGTTCAGTCAGGTTTGGGCAGATACCGGCAGAACCTATTCCCTGGACAAACTAGTACACCTAGCGGATGGGACGCAGCATGGAGATGGGACAGAACAAACTTCCGATGCACTCAGCACGAGGGATACGTCTCAAAAATGACACGGAGCAAAAGAAGTCAGATGCAAAAATCCACAGTGACACCTCCGTAACTTGGTTGAAAAGGCAAAATTATAGAGACAGGAGGGAGTTCCTCAGAAGCAGGGGTTTGGGGGAGGGGGGACTAACCGCCAAGGTGCTCTCTGGGGCGAGTGTGACATCCTACATCTTGATGTGGTGGTCGTGGCCCCGTGTAGCATTTGCCCAAACACCTCCAACTGTGTACTCAACAATGGACAGACTTCATTGTGGCTGTCAGTGAAGCTGGGTTTTTATTTATTTATTTATTTATTTATTTATAGTTTTTTGAGACAGAGTCTCACTTTGTCACCCGCGGTAGAGTATCGTGGTGTCACCGCTCACAGCAACCTCAAACTCCTGGGCTCAAGTGATTCTCTTGCCTCAGCTTCCCGAGTAGCTGGGACTACAGGCACTGCCACAATGCCAGGCTCTTTTTAGAGATGAGGTCTTGCTCTGGCTCAGGTTAGTCTCCAACTCATGAGCTCAGGCAATCCACCTGCCTCAGCCTCCCAGAGTGCTAGGATTGCAGGCATGGGTCACCGCCACCCAGCCTGAAGCTAGGTTTTTAAAAGCTTCTTACATGATTCACAGGAAGTCTTACAGATCAAGCACCAGAAATGACAAGCTAATCTAGAGTGCATGTGTGACATCTCAACTGCTAGGGTAGAGCTGATCTAATGCACAAGAATGACAGGTCTCCAGGACTGTCCCAGGTGGGGTGGGAAGAGCTTTGAGGCCAGCACGGTTGTGCTAAAGTTGATACAAGTACACTCTCCAGTGGGGAAAAAAGCACAGCCAAGTGGCACATCATCCCTTCTCAGTAACAGCTGCTAGAGCAAGGTCCTGGGACCCTGCTGCACACTGGAGTCACCTGGTGAGGCCTCTGGGCCGGGCCCCGGGAATTGTCGATGCCTTCACCCAGAGCTCCTAGCACATAGCCTAGACTGAGAGCCAGTGTCTGAGGGTCTAGTGGTCCTTGGCTGTGAACACAAGGATTGATTTCCTCGTGCACCCCAGCATGGAACCACCATCACTCAGCCCCAGTATAGGCAAAACCAGATGCCAGTGACATCCTGTGAAAAGGCGATGTCCCTGCGCCTGACAGGAGAGACCCTGCTTCCCCCAAGCCTGCCCTGACTCTTGGCAACAGCTTCCTGAAATCCCCTCCTGAAGCCTTACCTTGGGCAGTGGGTTGCTGGCTTTTCAAATGGGCAGAGCTGAGCAACAGTGGTGTAGCAGTCCAAGTCCTGCACTGTGAATGGGAACACAGAGGGAGAGGAAGAGGGTGAGGTCCCTGGCGAGCCTGGACCTCAGGCTACATGCCTGTGAAATGGGCCATGCAACCATCCAACAGAGGGGTCCAGAGTACGCCACTGGGGTCATGAGGAGATCATCAAAATCAAGTTTACAAGAACGTTTAAAGTTGAAGAAATATATTTCTGACAAACCATTATTTAGGGAAAAATTTAGGCTTCCAAATTGTATGGAATTCCATTTCAAATTTTAAAGGCTATCAATATATATACTATCAATATACATACTTTAAATACATAGAGAAAATAAACAGGAATATCCACCAAAATGTTCCCAGTGGTTATCTCTGACAAGTAGAATTTAGGTCAAGTCAGTTTTTAAAAATTGTTCCTTTGGGTTAGGCATGGGAGCTTACACCTATAATCCCACCACCCTGGGAGGCTAAGGCAGGTAGATTGCTTGAGCTCAGGAGTTCGTGACCAGCCTAAGCAAAACCAAGACACTGTCTTTATTAAAAATGGAAAAACTAGCTGGGTGTTGTGGTGGGCACCTGTAATCTCAGCTACTCAGGAGGCTGAAGCAAGATGACTGCGTGAGCCCAAGAGTTTGAGGTTGCTGTGAGCAATGATGCCACAGCACTCTACCCAGGGTGACAGAGTGAGACTCTGTCTCAAAAAAAAAGGAAAAAAAATTTTAAATAGATACAAAATAAAAAATTATTCCTCTGTATTTTTAAATTATCTAGAACAAACAGGTACTCTTTTTGTGATAAGAAAAAAGTGCTGGGTGGCCCCTGTGGCTCAGTGGGTAGGGCACCGGCCCCATATAGTGAGGGTGGCAGGTTCGAACCTGGCCCCAGCCAAACTGCAACAACAACAACAAAAATAGCCGGGCCTTGTGGCAGGTGCCTGTAGTCCCAGCTACTCGGGAGGCTGAGGCAAGAGAATTGCCTAAGCCCACGAGTTGGAGATTGCTGTGAGCTGTGATGCTATAGCACTCTACCAATGGCAATAAAGGGAGACTCTGTCTCTAAAAAAAAAAGAAAGAAAAAAGTGCTATTATACATTTTTATGAAGATGTCTAATCAGATATTCTTATATCCCAGACGAATGACAAGAGTCACTTTCCCAAAGGGAAGCAGTGGATGCTGAAATGGTTTTCCTGCATCCTGACCTGCCCGGTATCACTCTAACTGAAGACTCAGTCAGGCTACTATAACCTTGCTCTCCCACCCTGGCCTCCTGCCCTCCCACCCAGGCCTTCTGCCCTCCCACCCAGGCCTCCTGCCCTCCCACCCAGGCCTTCTGCCCTGCCAAATGAACATACCCAAAAAAGCAATGTAAAAAGCTGGGCCAGAGAGGGCAAATATATGCCATGCACTTCCCCCAGTCTCCCTCTCCTGTCTGTGGCAGACATTACTAATCTATCTATCGAGCTCTGGGCAGCCAATCCATACAAAGTGGCACATCCAGGGAAATCTCTAGCCCCAGATATCAGGATTTCTGTGACATTCATCTGGCAACCTCAGGCCTGTGTTTCAGGCTCAGCAATGTGAGGCCAGTTTCAAGTCCAGATATGCTTAGAAACTGGTTAAAGATACGACCTCCTCAGAAACCTCTTGAAAAAGGCTTTGCAATGCTTAGAACAACGTTAACAGGCATGATTAACATTAAAACATTAACTAAATCCAAGATAGTGATATTAGGTCATATACGAGACCAGGCAGCTTACCTTTTACTTTTGATACCATGAATGAGCTGGAAGGCTTGTATTTGCTGTGAAAGAAAACATTTGGTAAGTGCAAACAGCATTGCCTTTAAAAATGCACACTTAAAAAAAAATGCACACTTAACTCTAGCACTTATTTACAGCCTCAGCTTTACACTTTCCTGCCTGCCCCCCATCAGCCTGAAAGCTCTCAGAATATTCTAGACTGCATCAAGCCTTCTTAAACTTTTTTTGTATCTAAGATGCCTCTGGCAGTCTTGTGAAGCCTACAGACCCCTTCTAAGGAGTTCCAAAAACATCTAAGATCAATTTGAAATCTGACAAAGGAAATCAGTTATTATTAATGTTCTCAAGGCCTGAAAGCCCATCTGCGTCCCAGTTAAAGCTGTGCCTCCATATTCACGCATTAACCAGCCAAATCCAGAGGTAGGAGGTGGACCAGGGGCTGTGTTTCAAGAAATCGGCAGCACTGGGACTCTTCCAGTGAGAAAGACCCCTGCCCTGCTAATGCCAGTCTGGTTTGCAGCCAAAATTTGTCATGGGAGGAAATACTGCATTTCGACGAGAGAATGAAACTGTCCATTGTTTGGCAACCATGTCCGCAGACTCCTGAATTCTAAACCATGGAGAACCCCTGCTCTGGATGCAAAGGTGGCCACTGGGCGGGACAAGATGCCTCCGGGACAAGCATCGCAGGTAACACGGGATCAGAACCTGAGGCCGTGCTCTGGCGGCAGGGCTGCCTGCATAGAGCCTCTTTAGCTGGGTGTTGAGGTGGCCCCGGCAGCGTTTACACCAGTGTTTCCTTTGCTCCTTTTAAACTTCCTTGCTCTTCACTGTTCACCTCACCACTCAGCACTTAGGCGGAAAAGGAACATAGCAACATCACCTGACAACCAAGAGTCCTCAAAGGGAAGTGACTCTTCTCATTTTTTTAAATTCCCAAGTGGCCTCAGTTTGGACAGGTCGTGCCACCTTGTAACAATCATGAGAGCGACCGTTCAATCCTTTGTCACAGACCCTGGGATGGGCGTTTGACACTGGCGAGTCCCTGAATCGCCCTTCTAAGTGTACATCCCACGGGCAGTGTTCAAAGATACCAGAGATGCACCGTGGCCGAGGCTGGAGTGAGGGCGAGTGGGGTCCTCCATGTCCCCTGCTGTGCCAGGTGCAGGGTCCTGGCTGGGAAGGGGGATCCTGAGTGTTCTGAGGGCTCAGAGACAGCCCTTTCCTAACTGGCTTGTTTCTCTGTGCAGACCAGCTCCTGCTAGGACTCTCCTTGTGCATGAAGACCCTGCCACCCCCAGAGGAGGAGAGACAGGAGCCACATGGCAGGGAAGAAGTGGAACCGGGTCTGTTTGACCTGGCAGCCCTGCACCAGGTTCCACAGGCTCTGGGGTCACCTTATGGCTCTGGCTCTATACACAGAACAGGTGGGAACACCCCTGAGTGCCCTTCCCCACTGCTCTAGAGGAAGTCAGATGAGGAGGAAGACTTGCCCCTCCATCCGTCCACTCTCTGTGACAATCATTATCTTGGGAGGAAAGTGGGGACATTAAAAAACTAAAAGACCTCATTCTTTAGGGAGCAGAAAAAA